ACAATGACATCAGGAGCGAAAAGCCATTGTAGATCTAGCAACCAAGCAAATCGGCATTGAATGTCGTTCAAGAGGAAGACGTTCAAAAGTCCCACCCGGTGCCACCCCGCCAAGCAGGGAGGGGCTTCATGAGTGCGGTGGCAGGCGAAGCAGTTCTGCAATCCGAAAACGAAACTCAAACAAGCCCTCAAATCTTCCAAAGGCACCGAAACCTCGCGACGCCCAGGAATGCAACCTCGGGTCAGCCAGCGAAGGCAGGAGGCCAGAGAGATCATCTCGAGAACTTCCATGCAATAGCTCCTCACCTGCAAGCCGGGGCAGCAGCTCGGCTCAAAGCCCTTGTACTGTTCTACGTCTGCGGGAATCGTTCTGTTGCGCATCCAGGTTGTAGGTGTTGTTGCATTGATGTGCGCAATTCTCAAGCCCCTGTCTATGTTCCCGCCGCCCCTGCTTACTGCGCCGCAAAATACACACAAATGCAGCATACGGGCATGAAGGCATACAGGCACAGAGAGCGAGAGAAAGAGAGAAAGAGAAGCGAGAGAGAGAGAGAGAGAGAGGCAGGCACACAGAGGCGCGAAACCGCGCGTATCTTTTAAACACATGCATACAACACCTACCAGAATTCAACAGCACATGCGACACATGCAAGCATGCATACATCGTACCCCCTGCCAGCTTGCATTCACACATGCACCCATGGACCAATGCACAAGTTGTGCATGCTTACATCAGTTGCGCTCGGACAACGAAGAAGATGTGACAGCAGTTCTCCTGGAGCCGCTGGGCCTTTGGGCCCACGTGTTCGATACATCTCGACCATCTTAACTCTGACCATCCACTCAGCAAGAAGAGAACGGGTGTTTATGATGTGTGAAGAAGAATCACAAGAACCAAACTACTGCAGAATAAGCACGAACCCAAAGCACAAACAAAATTTCTGAGGAAATGCACCAAGGTTTGGTTGTCAAAGTCCAGGCTGAAGCTTGCAGAGTCCATCAAAGCGATCCTGGCCCACACACACGTTGCCGATTTCCAAGCCCCTAACGGGTGAAACCGCCAAGAAACGGGTTCGGTATTCAGGTGTTTTGGTTTGATCAGTCCTTGGTGAAGGGAGTGCAGGGGACGCGTGAATGATGTAAAGATTCTTCTCAAAGAATCACAAGACAGCAAAGCACGTCCTAAACTGGAATAGCTGTATTAGAAGCCTCGCACTAGTACTAGGATTAGTACTTGTAAGTTGTAGTGGTCGTGGTCGTGCTAGTGGCAGCGGTAGTGGTAGTGGTAGCGGTAGCTGCAGGGGTAGTGGTGGTGGTAGTGGTAGTGGTACTGCAGTAGCAGTAGTAGTAGTAGTAGTAGTAGTAGTAGTAGTAGTAGTAGTAGTAGTAGCAGCAGTAGTAGTAGTAGTAGTAGTAGCAGCAGCAGTGGTAGTAGTAGTAGTAGTAGTTGTTGTTGTTGTTGTTGTTGTTGTTGTTGTTGTTGTTGTTGTTGTTGTTTTAGTTGTTGTTGTGGTGGTAGTGGTAGCAGTAGTGGTAGTTGTCGTTGTACTTGCTGTAGCAGTAGCAGTAGCAGTAGCAGTACTAGTAGTTGTTGTTGTACCAGCAGCAGTTGCTGTTCTGCCGGCAGTACTAGTAGAGCAGTAGTAGAAGTAGTAGGTAGTAGTTGTTGTTGCTGTCGCTGTTGTAGAACGAAACGAGGAGGAGGAGTAGCAGAAGTCGCAGCAGAAGCAATGGTAGCACTAGTCAGTAGAGAAGTAATCGTACCGCTGTGTTTGCGGTCGCCACCGTGGCAGCAAACGCAACGCGCATGTTGCCTCGTTCCAGCATCGCAACAGAGCGCAGCAGGAAAGAACAGAACAAGGGCACAGGTGCCCGGAGTACATGTTGTTGACATTGCATGAGAAGTTAAACTCACTGCACTTGGGAAGGCCGTATGCATACTTTACCAAGGACCACCAAGCGGGGACACGCGGCGACAAGCCACAAGACAAGTGACACAGCCGAGCGAGCGAGGGACAAAAACGAAAATGCTGGAAGCAGCTGCAAACAAGACAGGGGGGGAGAGCAGAGGTAGCATCACTCCCTTAGGAAAACCGTGCCGCAGTTGCACCGTTCGGAAAAGCCTCACTCCAAAAGCATCCTCGGGATGTGGCCGGGACCGCCTTGGCCCCCGTAATCTACTATAAACCGACTGTGATATACTTTAATGTATAATATACCATAATAAGGACCGGAGCACCAGCGCCGCAAACGACGATAATGACGGCCGCACGGCGTCGACAGCTTGAACACCGCATAGGGGTAAGGGCAAGAATGACGACATGAACATGAGTTCTACGAAGGGAGTTCTTGAAACCTGGCTCAATCGGATAAGTCGAAGCCTCACTCACAGCCAAGTCTCCACATGTCCTCAGCTGGCAAGAGCCATGCACAAGCTCATACATCTCTCAAACGAGGATGCAAAAACCCCCAAGGAACATAAAGGGAATGAAATTCAACTAACCGGCCGAAGCTCGCGCATGAAGACAGTCATATTCGCATCCATCGTCCGCTGCTTCATCTCGGCCTCTTCGTCATCGGGTGGCGGCGGCCGCCGCTGGCGCGGACCCTGGGACTCCCATTCTCCGTCAGGACAAACCCGGAGAGCCCAATACAACTTAATTGAGGAACATACCTCCAATTACGATGAGGGGGTTCAGACTATGATTTCAGCTATCTTCCTGAATTGCGGGGTATCGGGCTCTCTGAAGGTCCCAGCCAGGTCGCCTGGCGGGGGCGCGGCGGCACCCAGCAGTACTCCGCGACGCGCTTGGCGCTGGCCAGGGGCGCGTGCCTTCATGCGCGGCTTGCGGAGTTGCTTTGGGCCCGTGATTCTTAGCCTCAGCCTCGGCCCTTATTGCAGGATGCAGGCACATGGGTTTCAGTGTGGGGTCCGGACTTCGGGATGTCCGTGAGAACTACAACTCCCAATCCTTAAGGCGTAGGGGCGGGGAGGTATGCGACCTAGTCATGCCAAGGTTCACTATAGTACCCCCTTGAACCAGAATCACACACAGGGAATCGTCTCGCTATGAGCAAAATACACCACTTGGAACAACCACAAGACACAATCCCGATGGCAAACGATCCTGTAAGCACTCGAAACCGACACAAAGCCACACAGCCTCTGTGTCTGTGCCGAGTTCGAAATAGCACACACCACCCCGCCCATCACAAAAACAGCACAAAAGCACACGAAGCCCTAAACCCCGGCACCACAAAGCACATTAACCGACCTAAACCCCTGAGAGTTCAGAGAGGCTCTCAAAACGCGCCTCTTTCCAAGTAGCTCCTGCGTTGTTGCCCAGCTTCCATCCAAGGCTTCCTGGGCTCTTAATTAGGGGTACCTTATTTGGGGGTCCTTATAGTAAGGATCCTACTATTATAGGGTACTATATTAGGGTCCAGCTCAGAGGAACTTGATTTCAGCTGGGGGGAATATAACGTGCGATAAAGCAATAGATAAAGCAATAAATGCTATGCAGGGTAGCTTAAGTCAGGTCAGGTTCAAAAGGAAATCATATGAGAATTTCCGAGAAAAAAGTGGACCCTAATATAATACCCTAAATAGTAGGATCCTTACTATAAAATAAGGTACCCCTAATTCCTAATTTTCGGAAACTCCCATATCAAAACCACGGGAGCCCACGAGGCCCAGTGTCCCAGTCGATCGCATGCTCTGGGGAGCCTCTGCCGAAGCACATGGGGACGTAAGGGGATGCAGTAAGGGCTCTTTGGGGGGTTCCCAAAAGGGGGTTGCTACAAGATCACCTTGGGGCCTTGAGGGTTTGGGGCCGTAGGTCTTCGGATTGTAGGGGCTCAAGGGTTAGAGGGCGATGGATGTGTGCTGTTCCGTATACTGCTCTTCGCCCTGCGCTTTGCTGAGCGACTCGTGCAATGGATTACTGTCGACTCGGCGTCAGAGTCCGATTCTCAGAATTGCATGGAGAATGTTCGGGATGCGATTGTAAAGCAAGAACTAAGTTGGCGAGTTGCCGTGTTCGCCTTACATCACGAAACCATTCGGCCTGGGCCGCAGTGCGCAAGGTCCACCAGTGTGATGGCTGCATGTGCGGAGCAGAGGAATGCGCCGAGTGCAGCGAGCGTCCAGACGATCCAAGCCTCAAAACCGCGTTCGGGCTTCCAGCCCTTATGGTTTAGAATGTATAGGGTACACCAGGGGTCAGGCTTTAGAAAGTTTTGAGTGTAGGGCCGTTCAGGATATGGCACCTTCAAATTGGCGGCAGTCAACACTAGCTATGAATCCCTCGCCCATCTGAAAACCGTTGCGCGACCGCCATCTTTGATATCGTGGCAAGGGTGGGCTCCGAGAACTTACAAAAGGTTTGTTGGACCTAGGTGTTCCTATATCGGCCACTTCTCCTGTGTTACCGGAGCATGCGCATGACTGCCATGTGTTCCAAACCACTAAACCCCTGCAGACTTTTTCGAATTTTCTGCCGTGGCCTGTCGTGCCTCGCCCCTAATTCATAAGACCTTATTTTTGGCTCCCACTTGTCAGCGTCTGCAGACGTTTGTATACCCTCTGCATCCCGCTCTTGAAACCGGACTTCAAGAATTGAGACTCCCAAACAAGATGGCCCCCTTCTCTCCGATCTTCCTTGAAGCCAAGTGCAGGCAAGAGAAGCTGATAGAGATGATGATCATAATGGCAACAGCAGTAGTCATGATGATAATGGTAATAATAATAATAATAACAATAATATAAATAATAGTAATAATTTCAATACTAGTAATGATAATGATAGTGATAGGCCTGGAGCTTGTTCATGTATCTGGAGTTTGCGACGGCAACAACCTGAAGCTGGTTCGGGGCTGGCGTTGGTTTAAGTTTAGGTCCATAACCTCCCTAATAATTAATACTCACTGCCCCTGTGAAGTCTTCCGAATAGGCTTTCTGAACAGAAAAGCTCTGCGGGGTGTCGCGGGGCGTGGCTTGAGCTGTCGCTTGGAGCTTCTGCAAAGACACCCTGCTTCTGCAACATGACCTTCTTGGAGTCTCAATTCGATCCCTCATGTTGCCTTATACACGTCTTCGAAGTTGAAGACCAGTCTTCCGTCTGCTGCTCACATGACAGGTTGTGCCTGTTCATGACAGTGCTCCGAGGGCTCAAAGACTCAAAGAGGCACCAAGTGCTTTCTCCGGCCTCGCAGCCTAAACTGTTTAGGGTGAAAACTGCTTTATACCCAGAAACCCCAAGTCCTAAGACCCGTCTTAGGACTTCGGGGTTCACAAACCGAGCAGCCAAGACCACCCAGAGTGTTCTCACGCTGGGGAACTCCAACTGCAGCGTCTCGCTCTCCACTGGGCTCAACACCAC